TATTAGCGAAAATATTTCCTCATAATAATTTTCATGTATTAGAGAGAAAACTTTTTCCACTTAAATTTGGAGGTGCATGGTTTCCAATCCATGTGAACCTTTCATTTCCAACCTACAATCATAAGACTAGGTTTAGGACAAACCAAACTTAAACTTATTTTTCCTTCACGGACTGAACTTTGCTATTCTAAATTCCTTTCTTTTCAGTAGCTCAAGGTCTACCAATGCTTTCGTGTCATTAGCAGCTCACCCATATTGAAGAGTGTAGTTTCACTGACCAACGTGCTTTGCTTCTGCGGTTAGATGAAAAACGTATAACTCATAAGCATTGTCAACATAACTGGAAGTGCATAGAAATAAGAATATGTTAATTAAAACACAACAGGTCATTTAACCTGAGGTCATGTGCTAGTGATAACTAAAATTATCATTGTCGGTTAACTCTTGCAACTCTCAAGATCAATACAACTCCCACTGACTTCTTGAAATATGATTTTTATCTCAAGAAACATTCCTTGATGAGCTAAAACAAAGATTCAAAAGTTTGTGAGGATTTCCGACAAGAAAACACTCCATAGAATTGGGCTTAGTTTATCTTTTGTTTCTTAATCAATGAAAACATCACAAATCCAACTCTAAATGTGCTACAGTAAAGAAAGCACTCTTACTCCACATGTTACGAGATGTTATCAACCTTCTGGGTTTGGAATGAGTTTCAAGATACAATTTATAGTAACTAGAGCACAGCTCTAAAACTTCATGTCGAACGAAACATGAATCGTCTATTATTGAACCATCTGCAACAATATTTGATTCCTTTTCTTAGTCACACAATTGCATTAAGATGTTCTCTCAGGATCAATTGTGATACAATTCTAGATGATCATAAAACATGATACTAAAGTATTCTCCTTTCCTTTTAGATTGGAGAATATTTTATCTTTCTACCTAATAGATTCTTTTCTTCGTTCTGATACTCTTTGAATCTTTTCAGAAGCATCAGAATTTTACTTAATCTTATAAACAAGATATATATATATATATATATATATATATATATATATATATATATATATATATATATATATATATATGTATGTATATTGAAGCATCAGTAAAGCATGACGAATAGAGTTAACATTCCTTGTGGTGGATCTGAAAGGTCTATATCAATATATACTAGATCAATCAATCCTTCACTTGGTTCACATAAACATGTGAAAAAGGATTTAGTCATGATCTTTCTAATGAACAAGATGATTTATCCTTTAATATATTCTTCTCATAATATATTAATAAATCATATTTAATCCTTTCTCTCCATAATTCATCCTATCAAGCTGCTTTGCTGAAGGCAACCCAAAAGGACCACGCACCATCGGGTCAAGTACATACCAAAAATAGTTATGGACTTAGACACTAATCAAACAATATAAAGAGTTATGATAGTTTTATTAGTTTTCTAATGAACAAGATTCTCATGCATCATGCAATTTGAATCGTACAACTCCAAGTTTTTGTCCAATTGTGTCACACCCCCGAACCAGACGGCGGAAACATCCGAGGGCTGTTGTGACTCAATTGAATACCATCACAGTGAATATACATGAAACATAACATCATTCATCACCATGCATTGAACTAGTACAACTGGTAGTGTTTACATTTAGTACATTGTTTCGAAACATTACATTCCCAAAAGTAGATTGTTCGATACTAGTTAAACAAACAACAAGACATCACTGAGTACATTTTTCCCTTCGATTTACCTGTTACCTGAGAATACAAGTATTTTGAAAAACGTCAACATATGAAATGTTGGTGAGTTCATAAGTAATGTTTGAAATGTAATGTTTTGTATTGCTTTGAAAACCACCAGAAAATCCGATATTTTCTGAAAAGAATATCGTATAAAAAGTGTGGAGATCCGTAAGTATGCTTGTTTGTTTCTATAAATGTAAAAAAAATTGTCAGACTTGGTATGCATCTCGTAGGTGTATGAATTGAAAACCCTAGGAAAACCCGATGTTTTCCTAATACTTTGAATTACGCGTTTTATATTTTGTTATACCGTTGCGACGTTTGTATTCGATAATTCCAGGTGACATTGGATTAATTATGGATTGTGAATTGTTATAAACACGCATTAATGAAAACGACTAGTTTACAACTATACAAACGATCCCTTAGGCGTTGTCCGTATTATTCACTTAATCCAACCACCCCGACTTCTCAGAGTCCCACAACCGAGGAGAAAAGAGGGTGCGAAGCCCCCCCCCCCCCCCCCCATATTTCCATAGGTTGTTCAAGGCTATCGTGAATGCGAAGGGCCCTTGGCCCGACTCGCATTTGTGAATACTCGACTTTGCTAGCAGTACCAAAGGACCCTTGGGACCCAACAGCACAAAAGCCATTGAAAGTCCTTTTATACGGAATTAGGTCATATAAGACCCAATGTCATGTAAGCGAGTTTCCTTCGGGCCTAAAGATCATGTCATTGGACTAGCTAGGCCCAACAAGCACGATTTGAAACTTTCGAGCCCAGAGATGGTGTATCGATGTCTGGTGAATTCCCACATGTGTATTGACTTCCCGAAATTTCCGCGTGTGTATTAAAGTATCGTCGTGTATTAATTTCTGATTCGTTATTGATTCGAGACCGAATCAATTCGTTTGATAACGATTTTGGTATTGAAGGTGTATTATATTTCGCCGGTAGTCGTGGTACTAGTATTTCATCATAACGGATTTATTGTTTAAAACATTAGAATTTTTTTTTTTTGCAGCCCCTTTCTTTTGAATAAATTTACAATTTTGACCCTTTGTATAAAAGAATTTCTATTTTAGTCCTTAAACCATTTTTCTTGACACTTTAGTATCAAAACTTGTTGAAAAGGTATTTTTCAGCTCAAATTTATTTGAAAAACAGTTTTAGTCCCTCCAAAATGAAGTTTTCTCAGTTGAAACCTCTATTTTCGCAGTTTTTACACTTTTGGCCCAAAATAGAAATTTTTTGCATCTTTGGTCCCTTTTAAATATGGAAAGTATTTTTAACCCTTGAAATGGACTTGGAGCACTAGTAGTCCCCTGTTTGACAGAAAAGTACAGTTTCAGCCCCTCTAATTTGAAAATCTCGCAATTTGGGCTTTATTGGACCGAAAAGTTCACTTTTGGCCCATTAAGCTTAAAATTTCACATTTTAATCCTTCAAAAGGGTATATTTCCAGAAAATACATTGTTGAAACTGTTTTGACTCATTTCAACCATAAGAATTTGTATTTGTCATTTTGAGCCCTTTAATTTTATATTTTTAACATTTTGAGTCCAAAAATGGGTTGTTAGCCCAAAGATGTTCATATTAACCAACTTGGTTATTTTTCTAGAAATGATTTGTATGTAATAATATAATTTATACTAGTTTCATACAACCTAATGTGATTCTCGGTTTTAAGGACTTTTTGACTAGATCCAACACCACAATCACATAAGAACATATACATACACATAGAAATCACACAAAGCATACATATACTCATAGATCTACACATTTGCTTGTATCCCCCCCCCCTCCCCCACAAAACTTATAAAACCGAAAAATAGGTGGTATGAAGCTCACCTTTGGGTGTGGTTTCAGCTTTTAGAAGAAGTGAGAAGAAAATTTGGCCTTAGTACCTCTCCTTGGAAGATCTCGAACTTAAAGAGTTTCTAGGAGAGTGATCAAGATTTTTACATGGATTAGAAGGAGATTTTTTGATAAAACAAAGTACCTAAATCATAGATCCAAACTTGATCTTACCTTAGGTGAAGAATTTGTGGAGATATCTTTTTGAAAGCTCCTTAGATCTCGAAATTTTGGAGGAGAAATGAGAGAGTTTCTTGATAGAAAAAATGAGTGAAATGTGTGTGTGTGTGTGTGTGTGCTTGAAATCGGCCGAGAGCAAGAAGAGAGGGAAGAAGAGAGAGGTTTGACAAGATAGTTGCATGGAAGTATGTGTGTTGCATGGAAATCCTTGCTGCAAAAGTGAGGTGGCAACCCAACAAAGTCAACCCTTCTTCTTTGTGGGCTTGGGCTGAGTATGGAGAGGGGAAGGAGGAGATTTTTGGGCTTTATGCCCCTAAGCCCATATTATAGTTGGGTTGAATGATTGTTGGCCCTATAAAATATAAATGTGATTTTTATGCTTTAATAGGCTAGATTAGGTTAATTATGGTCCAAAATAGTTTATAATATTTGATTTATTTCATTCTAGGCCCAATATGGCCCAAAATGTTGAAATACATGGAAGTGGGTCCAATTAGAGCCCATTTAAGGGTTCTAAGCCCGAGATAGTCAAATTGGAAGCTTATTGGTCCATTAGGCCCAATAAGAAAGTCCTAGTCCAAAATGGACCTAAACAAGAACTTCTAGGGTTTCCAATTACTTGTTGACTATTTGTAATGCTTGTATGGTGTATTTGATTGAGATTTTGCTGTCATAAAGTAAGCATAATGCATGCTCTTAAGTTTTTGATTCAAAATTCTTACTTAAATGTTGCAGTTACAAGGTACAAAATTTCTAGTTGTGACAAATTGAAACTTGATGATAAGATTTCTTTTCACTTGGTTAAATATGATAGTACCACAAGCGTGAACTCATAAGAATCAAATCTACAATTAATATTGCTATAATTAGAAACATAATCAACACATTCATTAATGACATTGCAAGGAAATATAAAATAAGGCAATCATATAAATCAAAACTTCACTTTTATTGATTAAATAGAAGATTGGAAATGAAAAACTATATTTCTAGACGTCTACAAAGAGTAATAGCAAACTAATAAAACTAGCATAACTCTTTATATCACACTAATTCCTAGTCCTTGCAAATATATTTCTTTTCTTTATGTAAAGTTTAAGGTGGTCTTACAATGTAAATCAAATACATTCCTTGGTAACTCTGGATTGCTTTTGAGATCATCGAAAAGCAATACAAAGAACATGAAACAAAAGTAAACCGATCAACAAATCAAACATAAATTTCAATGAATAAAAAAGAAATGAGCAAATCATATCATTGTTAGCTCTGGTACCAATTTGACATTCCCACAATTAATCAACCACCATAAACGAGGAACGAAATAGAATTATCAAGAACAGATATGAACATACAAGTTGAACACAACAATACCAAAAAAAATATGCTATTCAATATTATATCTCCCATTTTATCAAAAGTCAAAATCAAAAAATATATATATATCATATTCATATATGCCAGCCTGCCAGCCTACTAGCCCCAGCTGTATGTTACTTACTCATGAACTTTTCATTTTTCTTTTTTTGTTACATTTTCTTCCACGCAACATTAACTAAAAAATATCCAGGAAATTGTGTTGTGTTATCACCTTAACACCTTCCACCAAACTTTTTTTTCTACAAGTCTTGACCTGGCATTGCGAATTGAATTGCAAAGTTCTCAACTTGAGCTCCAAGATCGATAATCTCTTTGTTGTTTTCAAGTCCTTTGATGAAAGATTTCACCATTTTTCCATGTTCCCTTTGAACTGAACTTGTGATTTGAGCTGCTCTACATAGAAAGTCTGCCATTGTCTCAAAATCTGATTCCAAACAACCTCGTGATGTCATTGCAGGAGTACCTGAACATGTTCAATAATTAATATCCACGTCATCACTTTCAATCTACTTTTCTTATTATATAATTTTTCAATTCCTTTTGAACTTACCAATCCTCACTCCACCAGGAATTAGAGTCCCATTATCATCAAATATGGCAATCTTGTTAACAGTAATATGACACATCTCACATACTTTCTCAAAGTTTTTACCTGAAATAAAAACCATGAGTATTTGTGTATTACTATTCTATAAACTACAAGATTGATATTAAAAATAATAATTAATACCTGGTAATCCAAGGTTTCTGAGATCCCAAAGTAACAAATGATTATCAGTGCCTCCAGTAACAAGTCTGCAGTTTCTTCTCAACAAAGCGGATGCTAATGCTTGAGCATTTTTCTTCACTTGTTGCATGTAATCTTTGTATTCTGGAGTGGCTAATTGTTTCAGGGCAATTGCAAGGGCAGCAATGTGATTGTTGTGGGGCCCACCTTGAAGAGCGGGACATACAGCAAAATTTATCTTTTCCTCAAACTCATATTTGTCACTTCCATCTCCTTGATTCAGAAGCATTCCTCTTTTCCTAGGTTTTGGACCTTTTTTGTAAAATATTATACCCCCTCGTGGGCCTCTAAGACTTTTGTGAGTGGTTGAAGTTACAATGTCACAAAATTCAAAAGGGCTAGCACATTCCTGTTAATCATTCACCATAAAGATAATTTAGATGAAATTTAAAAGAAAAAATTCAAGTTATTGTTGAAGAAAGATAATTTTTTCAAAAAGTAAGATGATAATAATAATAATAAATTGAATTAAAGTTATAAGAAGAGTTGGTTTTAGAAAAGCCCTCACATGTTGTTTTAAAAGAAGCCCCGAAAATCGGCTAATGTTTCTTTACAAGAAAAGTAAGATTTTTTTAGGAAAAAAGGGTCTAAAGGTAAAAGCTTTTCAAACAATAACTCAAAAAGCTAATGCGAATTTTTAATAAGTAATAGCTGTCACATAAACAAGATATTATGGAAAATTTAAAGCAGAAAATGAAGCTCAAATAGTGATCAAAATCACACCTAGTGACAAAAGAATGTACCTTGGCAGCAATAAGACCACTGATTTGAGCCATGTCACACATCAAGACTGCACCACATTTGTCAGCAATCTGTCTAAATTTAGAATAATCCCATTCACGAGGATATGAACTCCCACCACAGATAAGAATCTTTGGGCGAAAATCCAGGGCCCTTTCTTCAAGCTTCTCAAAATCTATAATACCTGTTTGTGGATTAACCTTGTAAGAAAGGCTTTCAAAGAAAATTGAAGCCCCTGAAACTTTCTTTCCATTAGGTGTATAGTACCCATGACTTGTATTCCCTCCAGAAGGGGTATCCAACCCCATAATTCTATCACCAGGAGACAGCAAACCAGTATACACTGCAAAATTGGCAGATGTACAAGAATAGGGTTGAACATTTACTCCCCAGCTCTCTGAATCAAGACCAAATGCAACTAAAGCTCGTTGACAACAAAGAGTTTCAATCTCATCTATGTATTGGTTTCCAGTATAGTATCTAGATCCTGGCATGCCTTCGGAATATTTGTTTGTGACATGACTCCCCAAAGCTTCCATAACTGCTTTACAAACAAAATTTTCAGATGCTATTAGTTCAATCCCTTTGTATTGTCTATGCTTCTCTTTTTCCAATATGTCGAATATATCAGGATCAGCAGCCTGAAGGGACTGGTTTCCCCATGCTCGAACAGCTTGTCTACGCGACTCAAGACTTTGAGGGTGCCTGTTTTGCTCTGTATGACACCGTTTTGACAACGTCTGAGATGAAGCTGAATCAGTGGTGGCGCAGCTGGGGATATTGTTATCCCTTCGCCTTTTTAAACACATAGAATGCCCCAAAATCCGAAACTCCTCAACATCTCTTTCGCCGTCGTCTTCACCTCCATCTCTGCTCTCCTCATTCAAATCCATGCTCCCTGTGTTCGTTTGCTGGTGCTTCTCATTCAAATCGACGTTTTTGCTCTCGGTTGTGGTCTGTTGCTCCATCAATTGAAGAGGAACACCGGAAACAAGGTGGTTGGAAGAATTTCGAAAACTCGTATCGATCTGGAAGGATACAGTGTCGTTGGCTATTTGATTACTATGCGAAGAGTGAGGTACAAACCCTAACGATAGGTTCGATTGGTGAGCTCGGGTCAAATCCATAGATTTGTAATAAGACAACGTGGAAATGAAGTTTGTTTACCAAATCCTAACAGTGACAGCAACAAGAGCCAAGACCTAAGAAGCGATTGCAGTAATGGAGAAAGTAACCAGTGATTGTGGGTTCCATCAAACTACAATCAAAAACCCTAATCCCCAATGATTTGAAATCGACGTTGCGTACGGCGTACCTTCCGGAGACCAATCGAAGCGTGATGATGATGGACGAAAATGAAACAGTTTCGATGAATTTTGCTTCAACACGGCGAAGGGTTTGAGAGAGAGAGAAGATGAGGGAGGATTGATGGAATGGCGTTGGTTTGACGAAGCAAGCACAGAGGGGATGTATCTGGACACGTCGCACGCTGCAGTTGGGGTTGTCGAATCGGGTGTAGGTGGATATATGAACCTTCGAATACCCTTTGTGGTTTATATCATTTATTAAAAAAGATCAAATTAGAAGAAATATAAAAATGAAAATTGAGTACCCATTTAAGGTAAACCGGTATTTTAATAATAATAATCAATTTGGTTATAACCGAACCAACGAAAAAAAGTTTATAAAGCATTTATATTATTAATAAGATTTAATTTTTTTAGAAAAATTTTTGTATTGATTATTTAAAGGGATAATGACTTGATAGGGTTTAGTCCTTATTCCTTTTTCTTGTAAAATAAATATTTATATTTTATTTTTTGTAACAATGCAGTCCTTGTGATCGGCTATATCTCGTATAGCGGTCATATAAGAATTTTCTTTTAGGGAAAATGACTTAATAGAGTAATATACTTTTTGAAATATATACATTTAGTCTTTATTCTTTTTTTTTTTGTAAAATAAACCCTTATATTTTATTAATATGTACACATTAGGTCATTTTCACCAGATTCTACAGGTTTTGCTGATGTAGAAGCATAAGTGGCACTAAATAGCAATTAATTAGCTTAGTTACCAGAGGTGGGTGATCCTCCAGCAACAAGAAAAGAACGGCGACCCTTCTCTTTCTCGTCTCTCTTCCTTCCGGTCGAACAACAACAGCCAAACACCCTTTACCTGTTGTGTTTCTCCGATCTGTCTCTCTTTGCCTCCATCTTTAAGATATGTTGCCAGAAAAAGAAGAAAGAATCGACGAGGGGGCTACCAGATCAGCTCCTCGCCGCCAACTACCATCTCTACTTCCCCCTGCCTCCCCCTTCGACCTTGTTTTTTGTCATTATTCTTCCTTGCTACCAGTGATGTGTAGGAACACACAAAGGAGTCACCGGAGATCGGGGTTCTCCCTCTTTTTCATGATGAATAAAAGTTGGAAAAATCTCGTTGTGGATATATGGATGCCACTTGGGTATTTCATTTCAACAAAAATAAAAGAAAGGGAAAATGACTTGATAGGGTAAGATACTTTTTGAAATGTACACATTTAGTCCTTTTTTTTGTAAAATAAACCCTTCCACGTCAGCAAAACATGTAGAATCCGGTGAAAATGACCTAATGTGTACATATTAATAAAGTACAAGGGTTTATTTTACAAGAAAAAAAAGAATAAGGACTAAATGTGTACATTTCAAAAAGTATCTTATCCTATCAAGTCATTATCCCTTATTTAAATTTATATATTTTTATTTGAATATTCGATATCGGATATGCCTTACATATGTAAAGACATTTAATATAATTATAATTTATAAAACAAAATATAAATTTAAATAAAGTGTAACAAAATCACAATCAGTAATGAAAATGACATTGATATAAGAAAAGATAAATATAACATAATAAAAATAAATAAACACAACATAATAAATTACAAATTAAAAACTACAAATTGTTTATAAATGTCTAAAAACTTCCTTTACATACTATCATTATTTAAAACTAATAATTTTTATCATTACTTACTTTGAATCGTAGATAGGTCAACATATAATTACTCATGAGGAAAAACAGGATCTTTGAGATAAAGACTAACCTACGATAAAGAAGGCTTTTGATTATTAACAAATGTCATTGCAAAACATTCATAAACTACACCATCACCACATTTTTCACCGTCAAACACAACCTTTTTAGTTACTTTCCTACCACAATTGATTCATGCAACATAGAACTAAGTAATATCTTGTCGAATCTCATAAATAGTTCCAACAATGATGAACTTATAACCTACGATACATAATAAGATATAGTAATTTAAAAACATATTAATGAAATTCGTATAATGTAAAAAGAAGAATTTTAAACATGCCTCTTGTGGTTTGAACAAACTGACTACAGAATGCTCGTGATTAATCAAAAAATCATCATGCTTCGAATATGATTTTAACATTTGTGCTGGCAGAGATGATGCAGGATTTTGAAGCCCTTTTTAACCAACCAAGTTGTTTTTATAATTTATTAATTATAAAAATAAGAAAATAAGTAGTAACCTTTCTCTAAAGGTAATAATTTCTAGAAGATCAACATTGATGAAGAACCGAGTGTGATCATAATGGGTCATAACAGAAGATACTCCTATAGAAAAAATAAAAAATAAACAAACTAATAAACATAAAACGAACCAATATTGTCAGTTGATAAAAAATAAATAAATAAATAATATCGTTACAGACATTAATTTTAGCAAACTACATATAATCACACAATTAGTATATTTATTATTGCTAACAAATTCAATCAACGGTCCTTATGTTTATTAGTGTAGGAACCGGTCACCAGGTGAAGAAGTAGCCCTCCATATCAAAAATCTATCTCATAGCCACAATCGGATCCTTCCTTGACCCTGAGGGCTTCGTGTTGCTGAAATCCCGATACTGAAATAAACCTCCTCTTCGGTCTCCTACAGTAGCGACGACTACGATGGTTACAACAACAACAGCCTCAGCCACGACGGCCTACCGCTCATCAAACATCTCAATCATAGCGGTCTTAATAGATCCAAAAACCTCGGGGATGGCACTCTGGATAACAGCAACTACCTCAATAGCGGTTAACTCACATATATCATCATCTGTCAATCCTGGCCACCAGCTCCAGAACTAGATCCTCTCGTGAACTCCATACTTAAAATGAACCAAAATATATCAGAATTGCCACAATTCATACTATTACAATCATCACAGAGAACTAAACCCTCGGGCTTTGTGACTTACTTGCTACACGTACGGGTCCTATGCTTTTAGTAGTACGGGCTCATACTACCTTCCACACCTACCCATATTTGTCTCAATGGATCATCATAAACTACCCAAAAAACAAACCCACAATTAGGATACACATACATCCTATACTCCTCATCTGACCGACTGCTCACATACTCACTCATGAAACTTCCACCAACCCTGCAGCCACTTGTACATGTTAATCATACACAACGTCAGATTCTATAGACAATCAAATACTTGATTCTACCCTAAGTCCACAACCAACCAAGGAACAGAAAATAAGGCTAAACCAAACATTCTCAGGCCATAGAATCTTTGTTATGTACAACTATGATGCACACACTAAGTGACTATAGTAATTATGTCAATTTCATTTAATCTATAAGAAGTCTCCTAGGCTATCAGGCATCATACATCAAACAATTTTATATCATGCAATTCCTGAAGATCGCTAGCCTATCATTAGGATGCAGTTCTATCATAATCATCATAAACAAATAACAGTGTGGATAATTTGGGGTATACTTTCTTGCTCTAGCTGATCATACACATTACATCCTTCATTGGTTACTTTTGAAAACAATTTTTTTAAAACAATTTTTGAAAAAAATCATTTTGAAAGTTCTAACAGATCCTTAGTTTGAGTCTGAATTCACACGAATGATCATCCAATTCTCTCAAACCAGGGCTCTGATACCAACTTGCAACACCCCAAAATCATAATAAAATTTTCATTTTTAATTAAAGAGAAATCGTTGTTTTCAATAAAACCCAGTAATAAAAACCCAAGACCAAGTACAATTGTTCCAAAATTAAGGATGTGTACGATCACACATTTGCTTTCCCCCAATCATCTGAAGTACTTGAAACATAAAACTTAAACGGTAAGCCAAAGCTTAGTGAGTTCCCTAAAGTACCACCACACAAACATATAACAACATGCATATTGGGTCCACAACCATCAGGTTGAATTACCCCTGAGCCCACAACGTAAGTCTGGCTTACCTTTTTGGCCCACAACTCATGTCTAGATTGCTCCCTAGCCTACAACATAAGTTTAGCTTGCCTTACCAACCCTCAACTTATGTCTGGCTTGCTCCCAAGCCCACAGCATAAGTCTGGCTTGCCTTTCCGACCCACAACTTATGTCTGGGTTTCTCCTGGGTTTGTTGGCTTCCGTACAGAGAAGTATTACCTTAACCCAACCGCACTATATCGACATATGTAACAGATAAACATATATCAAACAAACATATAATCATACAGATCTAACATATCACTACAACATAGCAAAATCCTATACATAACCAAATGGGTCGACATTGGTGCCTTCAACCCACGAGTACAGTGAGGAAACTCGCCTCACATTCTAAAAAAAATATTAGAAAAGAACGTTGCTCCAAAAGTCAACTCTACTGGTCCCCTAAACAACAAACAATGACCTAAACTCAAACTATAGCTTAAAATACCCAACATACCCCTAGGTCAAACTTGGTCAAAATCTTGATCAAAGGTCAAAAGTCAAAAAGTCAACGAGTCAACTCAGACCGAGTATGCTTAGCGTACTCGGTCACTACGCCCAGCGTAGTGCACCCTTGGTCCGGTTATGGGGTCTCGACCAGGTACTCCCAACGTACCATCAGGTACGCCCAGCGTACTCGACTGCCACCTTTTCTTTTTCTATTAACTACTTAATCTATTAAGATACCACGTCCAAAACTCATATCTAGTTCCAAATAACGTTCTAAGTCATAAAGTTTCCAACTTTATGACTTTCCAAGGCTAGAAAGGCTCCACCTCATATCCTATGCATAAAGAAAGGAAAGGGACCAAGATCACATTTTTATGGTCCTAAGAACCTAAAAACATCTGGAAGGACATCCCTTATGGGTTTGAGTAAGCCATACTAATGAAGACCAAGCTTATGGGACCAAAATGAATACAAACTCCACGCCAACAAGATCTAAGCAAATACTCATTAAGTTTTGAGACTTTATACCTCCAAATGATGCTTGGGGTGAAACAATTTTGGATCCAAAGTGCCTTAAGCTACCAAGATGGTTTCCTTTCCTTCTCCTTCCTTCAAGAACACCATAAATGCACTCTTAAGCTCACAAGGGTTCACAAAAGGGATTAGGGTTTGCTAGAGACGAAAATAGGGATGAAGGCTGATGAATGAAAGGGTCTCAATGAGATAATGATGCTTAAATAGGGTCCAAACCCTAAAAATTAGGGTTTGGGCATCAGCCATGTACGCCCTGCGTACGTAAGTGTACGCCCAACGTACTTGGCAAAACACACAACCTCATTAACATAGCCAAGGGAATAAATTTGCAATGAAATTTCATTATAAGGGGTAAAAATAGAAAATACCTGGATCATTGGTGTTACACTTGTATTGTGTGAACCCCATTGAAATGCATATGTTTGGAGTAGTTCGGGTCTTGGTCCATAGTTTGGTTGAAATAAAATACGACTGATTTTTGTATAAAATGGGAGAAAGAGAAAAATAGTGTTGGTAAAATATAGGTATATGTGTGTATTTATAGGTAAAGTAAATAGGTAAGGGTTTTTTTTTTTTTTAATCTTTTGTGTGTGTGATTGTTGGCAATGGTTATTTGATCGTTTCCTTCGATTTTGAACCTGTTGCCATTTGTTACCACCACTGTGAACACGCCCATAACAGCCCTTAACCGAGGGGGTAGGCACATCATAACGCCATCACCAGCGATCCACATAGACAACAACGACTGATAACTCAATCTAAAAGATCTTGTAAAATATTGATTGATAACTAGCTCATACCAATCGATCTAAAAGAACTTGTAAACTATTGGTGGATTGTGTAATCTATGAAATGTTAATTGTATATCATCTTAAAATGAAAAGTCACCGGAAAAGAAGTCTAGAATTGGGAAAATCTTTAATTATCAGTTGGTGTTGAACAACGTGTGTAATATGTATAAGAAAAATGACTCAATGTAATCTTAAAACCCTATAATTTACGATAATGATAGTCTATTTTAACATTTTATATAAATTTATCGGTCAAATATGCAAAAAAAAGCAACCAATTACATAAAATCACAAAAGTTGATTACCGCCACATGTCATTATCCCTTTAAACTAAATCGGTTCAACTATGTTTAATTTTTCGTTTTGATATGAACAAAATACCTCTATTGGTATATTTATATAATTATGGAAGTAAAAGAAGAGAGACATAACAATTCTTCCACTTATTACACTCAACAAATGCAACTAATCCTAAATTGTTCTTACCATATTATTTACGATGCAACATTTACCTTGGAGAAAAAGAAATAGCACCTTTCTCAGGATATTGCGAGTATATATATACATATAAACTATAAAGCCTACGCATGATACTAGTCTCACTAGACAAAGGATTTGTGGTTTAGGGTTTAGAACCGAGTGTGGTTGTTACATATCTATGTCATAACGTGGGACCTGTGCCAGCTGGCGTAAATTTCTTAGTCGTCTTCTTCGTGTGTAAAGTCCAACAAAGTACAAGCTAAACGATAGTACAATAGCAGAGCAATCAAACAAGTCTATAGCATCAAGGTACCTCCCTGCATCACATTTGCATAAACTACTAAAAAAAACAAAAAGTGAAACATTGTTTGCATTTAACAAACATTGAATAGATAACTTACATCTTGGGAGGAAGTCAAAAGGGCTAAGTGTATAAAGAGCACCAAGAAACACCTGCAAACAAGAAATAAGATTCAGCAATTCCTTCAAAACTTAGCACCTAAATACATGTAATCATAATAAACAAGTAAATGAAAGAATGTTTGCTATTTCTTAACTGCAACTAAACGCAATCTGCTAAGATAAGCAACAGGTCTATCAGGATCCATCATTGCTTGAAGCAATCTCTTGACAAATAAAGGCAACTGAAGCACTTGCTGTCACAAGAAACTCACAATCATCACAATTGCTTCAAGAAGAAGAAAAAAAAAAAAAAAACTTAGGGAAAAGACAAAACTACCCCCTTCAATCTGGTGTTAACTGTCAACTTACCAGAATGAAACCGCAAGCACCACCAGCAAAAAGGCAGTTGTACTGTTTAACATTCTTGAGAACATCACGGATCCCTGCATCCTGCTGTTGAGATAATGTTGCTTCGGGGGTCAATTTGGTAATTGGACTGGAGCACATAGGGCACTTGCAAGGCTGAAATGCAGCGACATGGTTCCAATACTCCATGATACAACCACCTGTAGAAAGGTAAGATATGATCCAAAAACTCAATAGATTCTAAAACCCAAGGGAAGAAGGAAGATGATTGCAATTTCCTTAATCTGATGAAAAACTTAAGCCACTGTTGAATTCACATAAAAAGGTAAGATATGATGCAAAGGTTGAAGATAATCACATTCAAGGAGAACCAACAGAGTTTATAGCATAAGTTTGTTGTAATCAAATGGATTGTGTCGTTGCAGATCAGATTTTTCACTGAAACTCCCCAAAAACGAATGTAATCGAAATCATTGTACAGGCTACAGCTGTGTCAACAAACATAGTCGCATTTCTAAGCTACCAACAATGAATTCCTTGTGGTCTAAATTCAGGCTTAATTTCCTTCATTGTTAGACGAATTAATCAATCAGCAAGTAAATGCTATACTGCGATTACTTACCTGATCAATCAAAACCATCCAATTGTACGCATAATTCCTCATAAAGCAAGCAAATGAACAAGCACCGGAAAACATAAAGGATTTTCACATACCGCAGTACCAGTGACCACAAGGACCACGGCATGGAGCGGAGAAGGAGCCGAAGCAGATAGGGCAACAGTCGTCGGTCGGTGGTCCATCGCGTACGGTCAAACTGTTTCCTTCCTTATCTGAAACTAACAAGTTGCCTGTTGTTGATGCTGAGTGTGTTCCAGATTCTTCCATTTCAGTTTCACAAGTAGATGAACCGACGATGAAATTGCCTCCTGATGATGAAAACGGCAACGAATCTTGAACATGTAACATATACGCGTATGATTCGTATCAGAAAATTAGTTAGGGTTCCGATTTTTGTCGATCAATCGCTCTCAACGAAGATATCAGTGGCCTCTGTGTATACACCGACAAAAGAACATCAAAGTTATCTTACTGCTACGAATTCTTTATTAGTTTTCTTTGCTCGTACTCGTGGCCGTCGAGATCAAAAATGACGGTCTCTGGCCGATACTTCTACGTGGAATCTTGTTTGTCCCTCGACTCCACACCTTATTGAATTTATAAACATTTTATATAAATGTTTGAACATTTGTCGAGTACATTTAAAAAACTAAAAAATAATAATAATTTAAAAAGATAATATATCTTTTTATTTGTATATATTTGGTCACTAAGTTATTTATTTATTTATTTATTTATTTATTTATTTATTTATCATTTTATTGTTATACTGTACACATTCAATCATTATAACTGGTTACTCCAGATTAACTGAAAAAAATAACTTACTAAGGTAATATATTTTTCATTTTGTACCTATTTAGTCCTTAATATTTTTTGTATACATTTAATCATTAATATTTTTTTGTTTCAAAATAAGTTCTTTTTATTTTTACACTAATTCAGTACTCATTGGTGAGAGGTGTAAGGTTGTTGATGTTTATGTGTAACGTCTTATTTAAATAAGGCAAAACTCCATAATTATAAATCCATTATTTTAAAAAATCGTTTATTCCAAGTTACATTTATCGAAAATTAGAGTAATATAAGAAATGCAGAATCCTCAATATTATTGATGAGTATGTACAGTCTTGTCTTCACCTTCCCATGATCAACGATCGAACTTGGCAACGTAAACAAGTGGGTAATCACAAAACTTAGCGAGTTTCCCCTAAAATACCTCATACAAAAAACATACTACCATGTATTACGGGCCTACAATCATCAGATTGGAATACTCTAGCTCAATCAGTCATCGGACTAGAATGTCAACATGCAACGGGTCCAACCACTCATCGGAGAGGAATGCCCATGGTTCGTTGGCATGTTGCCTCAACCCGACCACTCTTCTCGAGCATTTGTGCCTACGACTTACAGCCAGCTCGCACCAAGTATATTGGCCTACAACACAAAGCAGTACCACTTCAACCTATCCCACAACCATATGTCGACATATAAATAATCAAGGATCAAGTGGGCAAATAATACAAACAAATATCAATCATACATCTTACTATCGCCTACTAGTCCTCTCATCACTACCAGCTAACCTCTGTAAAATGTGTAACCATAGGTAACCAAAGGTGAGATAGCCACCTGAATAGATGATCCTACTCTAGAGCCACAACCAAACAAGGAACATGCAAGAAAGCCTAGATCAAAAGTTCCCAGGCTATACTACAAGACTACATATAGCCCCTATGACACTCCACTAGACGATAACCAACATACTGGCACTCTAACCAGCATACTACTATTGTTGCATCCTATCATACAAGGATATATACATAAATCTAGCAGATCACTAAAACTCAACAACATCCTATACATAAGGATACATAACCAACAATCCAATGAATGTGTAACCATAAGTAATCATATGTGAGATAGTAAGTAAAAATATATTATTTTTTAACAGGAGTAATCTAATCAAAAGTTGTAGTAGACTAAAAAAACGAATGCATGGATATAAATATCTTTAAAATCCAAGATCATATGAAGAATTTATGACGTTCAGAAACCATGACCTAAGCAATAAAATAGTCGAGATCACGATGGACATAAGCATCAAAATTCTAAAACATTTCATTAATGATTGTCTCATGTAAGATGTCGTGAGAAAAACCTAGAGAAATCATTCATTAGTATTGAATGAGTAAAAAAATGACTTATTTTACAACAAAAATATTAATGACTAAATGTGTACAAAAATATTAATGACTAAATGTGTACAAAATGATAAATATATTACCCTATTAAATTATTTTTACCGGCTAACCTGGTTAATGACTATATGTGTACAAAATGATAAATATATTACCCTATTAAGTTGTTTTTACCGGCTAACCTAGAGTAGCCGGTCATAAGGACTAAATGTGTACAATTTAACAAGTTGAAGGGGTATATGTGGACGAAAAAAAAACTCAGTGACCAAATGTGTACAAATCAAAAAATATGTTACCCTTTGAAGTCATTATCCCAAAAAAAACTACCAACTATTTTTACTTTCAAATTGAAAATAAACTAATTTACACAAAAATATGAAAGATGGAATAGCAAGATCACAAAAAGAAAAATTATTAATTCTTATGAAAATGCGGTAAATGAGGTAAGATGTATGTAGTAATTGAGACTTGTATGGGACTTAAGGTAAATAAAATATTAAGTATTTTTATAAATGACATTCGACAAATTAAACATGCATCATGATGATGGATATAATTATGTAGCACATAACATAAAAATTATAAGAAATAAAGTTGAAGTAACAAGATGAAAAACGGTAGGCATATTGTTAGGAAGTAAAGCAAATAAAACACGAAACTACAAGCACACAAGACATAGCATTTACATGGTGTAGTCAAGTTGACACACGTCAATAGGCATGAGGGAACAATTCTTTATTTATGAAGTCTCAAACATAGGTTATAAGTATGCTTCAACAGAGATTCGTCTACTCACTAGAACTCGAGACACTAACAAATGACTAGCAGGCATCCCTATTTAAAGACTATGGATCAAACCTAAAACCCTAATGAGCCAAGCCCATTAATCTATAGGCCCAAGAAAGGTATCAACCAATCACAATCCGCCATGCATTTGCTTTTAAAGCCTTCATCCTTGAGATACATTGCATGAGCATCAGCCAAACACATGATGGAACATCTTGAGCTAATATGGCTCATCAGGAATGACCATGGTGCATCATGATGGAGCATCCTCCATAATAATAGCACAATCTCCACCAAAATGGCACATCATGCCATCTGGGGTATTCACCTTGAGCATCTTCAACTTCTGAGCATCCTTGGACAATCTTGAGCATCCTAGTGTACATCACATCATATGTGGCACCAAGGGATATCATGGCTCATCAAGAGCATGTGTAGCACACCAAGCATCATAAATGGCACACCCTTGCACCAAGATGGTGCAACTTGTACAAAAGTGGTGCATCCTCTTTAAGTGTGGCACATCAAGATTCCTAAGTGGCGTCTCTTCTCCTTAAGTGGCACATATGCTACCCAAGTGGCGCATCTCCTTCTCAAAGTGGCATATCTACTTATAGATGACACATCCTCTCCAAAAATGGCAAATCCTTGCATCATGGAGCATCAGTGATGCTCAATTCCCTTCTCAGGTGCTCCATTCCCTTATTAGGTGATCCACTCATTTCTTAGGTGCTCCTTTCTTTTCTTAGACACTTCGTTACTTTCTTTGATGCTCCATTCCTTTATCAGATTCTCTATTCTCTTATCAGATGCTCTATTCCCTTTTTAGGTGCTCATTTGAACTCTAAATGCCCCATTAAACTACAAGTGCTCTATTGAAACTAAATGATCCATGATAATTCTTTAAATTCTCTAGTCACATTTACACATATAAATATATGATGGAAGACACAACTAAACATAAAAGAACTAATAATATATATTACCCAACTACCATAATTTTGTATTTTTATATGTAGCATAAAAAGATAAAGATGTTACAATCAATCAATACTATATACATCTTAATTAATTTCCATATTTTTGTAACAATTGTGAAATAGTTTATTATAAATGTAACATCCAGACTTCCAGGTATATTGTTTATTTATTTATTTTGTGGATTATGGAGCAACTCAATGAGTTGGTGCTACAACTCGTTGATAACGTCTATTTTATGCATATATTTATGATGTTTTATTATTATTTTATAACATGTTTTTATGTTATTTAGAACTAAAATATAATTAATATGCTTTTAAATATTCAATTACAGTAAAAATGGGAGTTGGAATGCAAAAGGAAGAGAATGGAGCTGAAAATATGAAAAAAGGATATTGCTGGCAGATTGACCCTTGTTCAGTGTTTCGGGTATATCGGTCTTGAAGATTAAGCATAAAAGTTGGACGAAAATTTCCTCCAAGTTACTTATTCCCCAAGCATCACTTACCTTATTTTTATTTTCTTAATCCCTAAGCCACCATTAGTTTCCTTATTCCAATCCAACTCTAATATTCCATATTAATTCCATCTCCCGTCAACTATATATACCCCATATCATTCCACCATTTGGATAATCTATGATATTCCATTTCGACTTGTGCAACAAGAAAACTTCATAGTTGCCGTTTTGAGGATCTAGAAGGCGGCCGGAAGATCGTAAAGCTGACAGGAGCGAAGATCTAAGGGATTGGAGAGCGGATTCATGTCGGTAATCATGTGGATTGTTAATGTGATCATTCTTAGCATTCCACTGTGATACTATTATGTGTTTTCTTTCTGATTTAGGTGTAAAAACCTTTTACTTTGTGTTTATGATTGAATGAAAACTTGATTATTGGATTAATTGCTATATTGGATTGTTTGTTTATGTTTAATTTATCTTGCCAAGCTTGTTAAAAGATCCTTACGTGTTAATGATAATTATTTGCTGTTAATTGTCAAGTAAATTGAGTTGTATGAACATCTGTTTGATTGCTTGTCTCTTATGATTTTGATGACCATCAAGATTATATGTCGAGGAATAACGAATGTGAAACTATGATTAACTCGGAAATAAGTAAGTTAATGTGTGATCCTTGTGTGACAAACCATCAACAAGAGGTTAATTGAATTAGTAATTTGATTAACTATTATTACAAGTCTTGCTTGATACGAACTGAACACTAGGAAGCATGTTAGTTTAATCAACTGATCATTGTTTGAATTAACTTGTTTGCTAAAGGATTAGTAATAGTGAACACGAATCTAATCATTTTAGGAATCAGTGAACATGAATAAATGAATTTATGTATGCAATTGTCTATGTTTTCAAGGTGTAATTTATCTAAACCAAAGTACCTGAAGATATTTGTTTTCCTGTTAGTTTATCGAGATTTGTTAATTAGTTGTTTGTTTGAGATTTAATAAACCATTTCTTTACTGCTTTTGTGTGTCTTGTGTAACCTATAATCAAATATTTTAAATTAATTCACTACCGTTCCCCTTGTGTTCGACACCCTTGCTTATCAAAACTATATTTTACTCGATCGGGTTCACTACCTGTAAGGTGTGGTTTAGATGCGATAA